ACTCCAGGCCCAGACCCGGTCTGGTAACAGATGCACCTTGACAATAACATAACGTAAAATTTACATTTTAGAATTTGTGCTCTTTCAAGGAAATTCGGCAAACTAATCAAAGGAACTTTCACATTTATTAAATACATTTAAGAAGTCACTTTCATGAATGAAAAATATTTTCCCAAATCAAAGTGGCCAGGAGGCAAATAACTAAGCTAAAAGTCTCGCAGACCCCATGAGCTCCTCAAATCTCACTCGAAGACCTACCACTAGATGGAAACAGTGAGCATCAGCTAGGTCCTTTAAACTGACTGGTAGGAATTCCCTAAGGCTGTGGAATTATTTTTCTTACATTCTTGTGGTCACCTGTGATCATTTTTTGACTCCTGGTTTAACCCTAAGAACTTCTCTTAACTGCATCTGATAAGTCATGCCAATTTGTTGCAACGGTTTTATACCCAGATGCATGTTTGTTAGAGCTGAGAACCCGCACAGGCTTGGATAATGAGCGGCACCTCAGCCGGTGGAAGAAGGCACCGAGGGCCATTTAGATGCTTAGGAAATGAAGCATTTTTCAAGCTTCAAAAATTTTCATTTTACTTAGTATATTATTTATTGAATGTATTAATGTTATAGACTGTTATTATGTAGTCAACATGCTATATTGTTGGAATTTAGAATAACACTCACAAAATAAACCATAAATACTGTTAAGAGACAACTTATTTGTAATACATTGAAAGTTAACCAATTCTGAGAATATTGAGACTTCACTGGCCAACTCTGAAGGCAATACATTTAACTGTGACCCAGATTTGGCCTTGGAACCTGTTAGAAGGCACCAAGTAAAAGCCAGGTTCACACTCTGATTCCTCCAAGTCCCCAAGTGGTTTTATTGGAGAGGAGTCTGGATAGGAATGAGCCAAGGTTAGAGACAGCATTTTTGCTGTTGGTGAACGTGGACAGATGGCTTTTGCAACAACAGCACACGCCACTCACAGGACACAAGACACTTGAAAATATACCCGCTTCTGCTAAACTACAAAGACTGTGGAGATTCTGTTAGAATTTCCTTGTGTTTCCAAATCAAGCTTGGTGTTTAGTAGATTTTAAGCCAAGAACAGTTACACACTGGCTTCTAAATTCATCTTTTAAATTAAGTTGAAAAAGATATAATTTGATCCCAGTCTGGAGTTGAACAAGACATAGCATTGTAATAATAGATGGGATTAGACCTTGAAAGGGTATAAATGTAGATTTCTAGGTAAAGTCAAGCCTTTCTTCCCTGAGACACCGGGAGGATTTGTCCAGCATTTTCTTGCAATGTCTGGTCCTAATACCAAGGTGGTGAACGTCATTGCCGTGGAGGGGTGCGCCATCCTCCCCCGGAGGAGCCACGGGCTCCCTTAAGGACCCTGCATTCCAGGGTTCTGGAATAGTGTTCCAGATGGAAGACTATGTTTAAGGCACTGCCTCCAACAATGAGTCCTTCAAATGAGAGAGTTAAAGACTCAAGTTTTCTTCTGAGTTTCTTGCTCTTTACCTCGTTCACATACTGATTTGAACTAGCAGTTCTGCGGGGCTCCCAACACCTGCTCAACAAGCAGTAGCCAAGGGAGAGAGTTTGAGGTAAACACTGGGCTCAGGCTGCTTCTTAGGCAGCGTCGTGTGGTCTAATCAAATTCACTTACCCAAGGGGTCAAGCTCTTTCATCTCCTCACTCACTTGGTCCACAAACACTGGGTACCCACCATGGGCCTGACACCTTTCCAGGGCCTGGCTATCCAGGGCCTGGTTGTGGTAGCTAACTAGACAAACCATCTAAATGAACAAATGCCTAAATAATTTCAAGTAAGTAGCCACAGGTGGGAGGTGCACGTTTTGAGGAGAGGATATTTGGACTCTAACTGAATAAATTAAAGTTCTGGAGGAAGAGCATCCTAGGCAGACCGAACAGCAACTCCAAAGGCTGGACTCTAACCGAATAAAGTTCTGGAGAAAGAGCATCCTAGGCAGACCGAACAGCAACTCCAAAGGCCCTATGGGGGCATGAGCTGTTGAGGCTGGGACAGTGGTCACCAGGACCCCGAGGGCACGGAGCTAGAGAGGTAGGCCTGGTCAGGCCAGATAGAGCCTGAGAGGCTGTGGCAGTGGTTCGTGATATTTTCAAAATGTGACGTACGCCACCTGATCTATGTTTCAAAGGGTTAACCTGGTCCGGGAGACCGAGCTCCAGGGCAGCTGTGCGGGGCCAGGTGGGAGCCGTGGACTGGGGAGAGGTGAGAAACGGTGAGCGGGGCCTCGCCACCCTGGTGCTGGTACCGGAAATCTGCGATCCCTCCTTGGTTTCCTTCTGACCAATTAAGTTCTTTTCCTTTTAGGAAAACAGACTCCGGGAACTCGATCTGCAGCAGAAAGTGTCCGGTGCTGCAGAGTTCGGGCTGGCATCCGATCCCAGTGGAGGGCTGCTCTTCCAGCGTCCATCCTTGCCAGGCACTCTGTGTGTGTCGTGCCTTTAAGGACATTCTTAGGACTGCAGCAGCAGAAGCAGACTGATCTTTTCCTGAAGGGTTTCCACATGACCTAGCGAGCCTCTCGCACCTGAGATGCCGGCCTTGGGCAGTCAGGGCCTTGCTCAGGGTGTGCCTGGGTTGCTGTCTCTCCAGGTCCCCGGGCTGAGGCGGCTCTAGGAATGGAGGACGCACAGTGACGGTGCCAGTGCGAGGCCCTCCCAGCAGAGGTGGCCTCCGTCAAGGTGAACGTGGTCGCAGGTGCTTTCTTCCTCCTTCCCACGCTGCCTGGAAACACCTGGAAGAAGCTCGGCGAGTCCCCCAACCGGCCTTCAGGATGCTGCCTGCAGCAGGAGCTGACAATAAAGTAAGTCCCATTAGAATGAAGTTTTCCTCTCTCCTCTCTGTTCCCTAGTCTCCTCTAGCTTTTCAACAGTCATCCACTCAGCAATTGTCAACGAGCATTTGGTTTTATTCCATTTTATGTACTAACCCGAGACACTGCCATCGCTAACCCAGGGTTAGAAGGCATTGTGGGAAAGCAGCCTGGGCCATTTCTGCCTGGCTCACGGTCAGGCCTGCACCTGGCGCCATGGCAGATGGTGCGCACTGATTACATATTTGTGGGGTGTATGAACGGGGCCTGAAACAGTCTGTTTCCAAGAGGTGGATGGAGTTTTCCCTCTTGCAGACACAGAGCTGCTTCGAAACAATACTTGGGCATCTTCATAGAGCCTGAGACACGAAAGACGAATCCATAATGACACAGAAAAACAGAAAAATTTGAACAATTTATTCGTACATTTATGCTGCCATTAAGAATCATGTTATAAAACGGGGGTGGGGGGATTCATAGTAGTGTTAAGTGAAAAGGGCAGAATACATCTTTGCAAAAGCATTATCCCAATTATGTCCAATATGCACAGATAAGCATAGAAAAGCGTTGGAGGACACGTACCAAAATATTAAATGTAACTCACTCTGGTATGAGAGATTTTATATTCTTCTTCCTACTTATGGGACAGATTTTTAAAGTGTTTCAGATATTGGTACAATTAAAAAATGGCCTTTGTTGGAAAGCATGCGGCTGCACGAGCCTGGAAAACTCAGGCAGTGTTTGTGTGGAAAGCGAAGGCCACCTGCTCGCGGGTGAGTCAGCGGCGCAGGCTCGCACCTGCCTCCGCGCTCGCCAACCTGCTGCTCCGTGTTTCCAAACGGAGGCCCCCCGAAGCGCGTACGGCCCCCCGCCCGCGGCCGCCGGACGACGCAGCTCCTCTCCTCTCCTCGCTCCTCTCTGGA